GTGGTCCCGGCGCCACCAGACACTGACGTGATTAACGAAGTGCCGCGTGAATTTTCCGAACTCGTGGAAAGAGCATGGGCTGGGCCCATTGACCGAATCCTGTCGTGAGCCATCGGGGCGAATCTTTTTAGCTGTGATATATTCATTCATGGCAGAGGGTCTCTGCGCGGCATCTCCAGGATACGAAGTACAGAGAACCTCTAGTAATGACGACATTGTCAGTGAAGCAGGAAGAGTGATGTACACGCACTGGACTGTCGGATTCGATCCGCGATTGAATCATTCGATCTGCCCCATGAATGGATCAATGTATTAGGAAGCGAAGTTTCGGGCGCTGTCGGGCAACATTGCAAAATCTTCAGAATGACATTGTTTTCATGTAAACGTCTACAAACACCCCGTTCAATGCCAGGATTCGCGTGTCAAATAGTCGTTTTGGATTCTTCAGCGCAGACAGTCTGATCGGTCTTATCAATTGTCTCGAGAAACCAAAGGAGGAGAGCGGCTCAGCTGACCCCCCCAGGGGGACTGCAGCCCGCCGCAAATGCTGTGGCTACATTAGTGGAAGCCAAAGCTTCGAGCGGCTCTGCCGGCTCGGGGCCGAGAGCCCAGCGATATCTTCGAACGTCATCGAGATCGAGGGCAACTTGGATTGAGAGGCGCGCCCATAGGACTGCCCCTTATAATCCCGCGCCCGCCAGCTCATCCGCGTCGGGCAGCCATGCCGGCTGGATCGGTGCAAATAGGGTCCGGGCATGGGCTGATGAACCCATTGCCGAAGTAGACGGCCGCGCGAACGATGGCGGCTGGGGCGCGACGCAGGACCACGCGGACAAGAACGATAATGGGGAAGTTCAAGGATACTGTGTCCATGTGCTTCACCATCGGCATGTCGCAGATCATGCCGAAACTTGGCAGTGGTTTAGTTTGAACGAGTACACCGGCAAATTTCATCGTGACCGTACCTCGCCGGAGCCTGCGCCGTCAACCACGCCGACGGCGAGGGCGGCAGACGAGGGCCAGGGCAAGGACAAGTCAGACAGTTGGAATTCAAGCAGAAGAAGAGACACATACGAAGATCGTCCAAGGGATCAGCGCCAGTGGAACTGGCGCAACAATGATGCCTGGGATGATTCTCGAAGTTGGAAAAATGATTGGCAGAGATACTAAAGTACAAGAAAGACTTGTACGTCTTCGTCGATACCGGTCCGACGTTCATCCTGAAGCGGGTGCACCAGGTGTGCGTGGGAATTGTGATCTGAGCTAGCTCAGGCGGGGTTCGTCGGTTTTTTTTCCGATCTTCCGCCCCCTGGCAACCACAGTCGAGCGGTAAAAGTGTTTTGGGGCTCGCTCCTTTGGCTGTGCATCTGTACAGGCCAGGTTGTCTGGGGGGTCTGGGCGACCCTAAGCATCCCGCCGCGGGGGGGGGGGCACTCCTGTCGCACCGCCACTGCTGCCCGTCCTGCTCTCTAGCCTTGCCTGCACTGTCTGTCGCACTTTGCGACTTGGATGTTGTTGCCTGTAGCTGTTTGGCTCTAAGGAACAGATAAGGAGCGCGACTGCGGCGCGCGCGCGCGTGCGTCGGCCGGCGGGCCGGCCTCCTCCCTTCAGGGTTACCGTAGTGCTAGCTTAGCGGCATTATCCTTTCTTCCCATGTCATCGGCGAAGCCCAGTGACCATGATATCTCAACAGAACATACTGCAGGACTCATGAACATCCAGGTTAAAGGCTAAATCATCACATGTTTTTTATCACCCCCTATGTGGCGACAGCTATCCATCGCAGGTTTCTGCATATCGATCGCATGGTGCACGCTCTGCCGTAGCAGCTCCCTCTATGGATTTGCTAGTCGAACTCTGCGGGCTTTTCGTCGGCATTCCCAGACGGCGCTGGCGTGAATCGTGACGTGACCAGGCGGGGGGGGGGTCGGCGGGGCCAGTATTTGTGGGCTCTTACCGAGCCACGGGCCCGTCCAAAACGATTCAGGTTGAAGTTGGAAAGGTGGTCTTTGGGGGAGGTCAGGACCTCCAGGAGTCCACCTTGTAAACAAATCACCACGACGTCTGAGGAGGAGATAGGATCTGAGGGGGAGGATGAGGGGAGGAGGAGGGGCAGAAGGGTGGGGGATTGCCATGGAGGAAACGGATTTTCAGGGAAGCGGGTCGTGGACCCTTTTTGTTTCTGCCTGGCGTTCTCGGCCTGGCAAACCTTGGGCCGTCAATATTGCACCGTGCCAGGAGGCCTTGACTAGCCCCGCTGCTTGAGAACACGCGCGGCGAGTCAGCATCAACGTGGGAGTGCTTCGTGTGGGTGGTAACGTGCCGCAATAGACCGAGCACGGTACGGCACCGCACGGCGCGCGGGCACGGCACGGCGCGGCACACTGGTCGCGCGATATGTGTGTGTGTATATATATATATATATATGTATTTGTGTATGTGTATATATATATATATATATGTGTCGAGTCCATGTGCTGAACGGCACGTACTTCGCACTCCAGAGTTCCGGCACGGCACGGCACGGAACGGCAAGGCACGCGCACACGGCACGGCATTGTATACGGAGGAGACCTTGCGGCCGAGGCCGCCGACCTTGTGCGCAACGGCCAGCCAGGCAGGAGGAGGAGGAGGAGGATGGGAGGAAGAAGACGGGGAGGGGGGAAGCGGGGAAGGGGAGAAAGAGAGAGATCGTGGGCCCATCGTGGGGGCCCTCCTGGGGCCAGTGTGGAGCCCTCTGAGGCCATCCTAGGGCTTTTTTGGGGGCCCTCCTGGGGCTCTCTTGGGGCTCTCTTGGGAGTTTCTTGGGGGTCATCTTGGAGGCCATCCATCACAGGAGGGTATCCTATGTGTGTCCCTCCCTCGGGCCGCGAGCATGAGTTTCTTTGGGCCTTCTTGACGCTCTATTGGGGCCGTCTTGGGGCCTTCTGAGCGCCTCTGGGGACCCGTCTCGGAGCCATCTTGAGGCCTCAAGAGCCAATCGAAAGCGAAAAAGTGAGAAAGCTAAACATAAAGACAATTACTGGGGTTTAGAATGATGTTCGTCTCCTCTGGGACTTTTCAGGAAAGCTTCGTGGCCATTAGGGGTCGCGTTGGAGCGGACCTGAGGCATCTTGGGGACATTTTGGAAGCTATCTTGAGTCATTCTGGGATCTCTTGCCTGTTTTCGAAGCTATGTTGGGGTATTTGGAGGCCTTCTGGAACCATCTGGGGTCCCAGGGAGAGGTGACGCAGCGCCGGGACCTCCCCTGGGACCCCCCCCAAATGACCGCGGTCGGGAGTTACAAGGGTGCTCAATTACCCTCTCGCTGGCGCTTGAGGAGGAGGGCCCAGGGAAAGCGCGACGACGACGACGCGACGACGACGACGACCACGCCGACGACGACGACGACGACGGCGACGACTCAAACGGAAGAGCCTCTCACACACGCCGACAGGGTCGACGGGTGTTCTGGGCGTGGCATGGCACGGCATTTTCTTCGGCATTCTAGAACCTCGGCGGGCACGGCACTGCACGGTTCGGCGCGCGGGCACGGCGCGACACGGCATGCGGGCATTGCACGGCACGACACGGCGCGGCACGTCGGCGGCACGTTGTCTCGCAGTCTGCGTTCTAGCAATATGGGCCCCTTGAAGCATCCGCTGTTTAGGGAAAGACGACTCGGGATGAAGAGATGGCCGCGGACCCGCTTCCCTAAAAAGAAGGGAGGGGGAGAATGAGGGGGGGGAGGGGGATAAGGGGAGTGGAGGGGAAAGAGGCGGCGGCGGCGAACGGTGCACTGGACGCATGGTCGTGGTCATTAGTGAAAGAGGGGGAGGAGGAGGGAGACGAGGTTGGGGGAAGAGGAGGAGGAGGAGGAGGAGGAGGAGGAGGAGGAGGAGGAGGAGGAGGAGGAGGAGGAGGAGGAGGAGGAGGAGGAGGAGGGAGAGGGGAGGGGGAGGGGAGGGGGAGGGGAGGAGGACGGGCGCGATCGGCCAGGGAAAGGAGAGGATGGGCTCTACGCGTAAGAGTGACCTTCGCCGGAGTGACCTCTGGTGAGAGCCCGGAGGGGTCCTCCCCCCAGCTCTGGCTGGTGCGCTTGGATTTGGCCCTTTCCACCCCCGAGCCTCCCTGAAGTGCCCAGGGCCACTCTTGCGTGCAGCTGTTAGGAGATCTTCGTCGCTGGCTGAGCGGGGCAGCCGATGCTGCCCAGGCGACCCCGCGGGGAACGTCCACGACCCCCCGGCCCAAAGCATTGTCCCAAGCATTGTCCCCTGCACCCTCCTCCCCCCTCCCGGGCCCTCCCTCCTCCCTCCACCTCCGCGGAGGGTGCCCCCCCGCGCCCCCTGGAGGTGGAAGGGGCGCCCCGGCGCGGCCCGCACCCGCGGGCCGTTGGGAAGCGCGAGCCCCTTCGGTGGCTTTCCGGACGCCCTTCGGCGTCCGCTCGGCGTTCCTCTTGGTGCCGTCTCGGCGTTTTAGTTCGGCGGTCCCTCGGCGGCCCTTCGGCGGCCGTTCGGTGTCCGCTCGGCGTCCGCTCGGCGACCAGTCGGCGGCTTTCCGTCCCGCGGTTCGCTTGGCGTTTCGCTCGGCGTCCATTCGGTGCTCCTGAGGGGGACCTCCGCCCTTCTCAGGGGCGACGTCAGGGGGGGATTGGCTCAGGGGGGCGGCCATCGACACCCAATCGCCCACTGATTGCCAATGGGGGCCCAATAGCCGACCCCGCCCAGAAGCATGCGGATTCGTTATCGGTGGCCTATCGCCGATCTATCGGCGATTCATCGCCGACTCTAGGTCGATGTTCGTTGTCCTGAGCTGGTTCCCCGATCTCACCACCCGCCAAACCACCCCAACCCAACCCGAAGGCCCCAATTTGCCCTCCATTTCCAGTTTGGGGGGGTCGGGGAACGTCGAGAAAACACATGAAGCCCGTACCCCCCCCAACCCGAAATTCGGGTCTTCGGGTTGGGTTGGGGTGGTTTGGTAGGTAGTCACGATCGTTGCCCCTTGCTCCTCCGGCCAGGCGGCGATGGGCGAGCTCATCGGGGTCCCCGCCGCCTCCATTACGGGGTGGCCCCCGCCGCTGCCCGCCGCCGCCGCCGCCGTGTTCGTCCGCCGCTCGCTCGACTCTGGTCCTGGAGCAGGCGGGAGCAGGGATGATTGAGGATGGTCAAGGGCACAAAAAACGCCCCTACCCTGGTTTACGAGGCGCTGTGCGCTGAAACTCCTGTGGGCTGACAGGGTAAACCCTGCGTGATGTGCCGCGTCCTGGCGGCTCTAGGCTTGGGGGTCCCCAGGAGGTTTACAGACTACGCACTCGTAACCCAGGGTAGGGCCGTTTTTTCACCCCTCAAGATGGAGAAGCCAGGTGTTTTTTTATTCCTTGGCAGAATTATGTCTGGGTCTCCTGGCCCTCGTCGTCACGGCTGGATCTGCCTCGAAGTTCTGCGGGGTCTTCCCCTGTGAGGTTCAGGGACTGGACCCATAGGGGAGGTCCCAAACCGCTAGCGTCACGAAACAAAGTCGCGACGACCGCTCATTATACTTGGTCCTCCGGAAACACGTCCTGGGCCAGCCAGTTTCGGGGGCCCCCAATCGGGGCGGTGACCACACCGTGCGGTGAGTCGGTGGGGATTCGGGGTCACTGCACGGTTTTGGGACTCGAGCCCCTCTCCGAGGACGTCTCGGGCGACAGGGGCCTCCAGGGTTCCAAGACCGTGCGGTGACGGACCGTGCGGTGAGGTCTCTTGGGGTTCCGAGGTCACCGCACGGTCTGTCACCGCACCGTTTCCGGACTCCATACAATTGCAAAACGGCCCAGGATCAAAAAACGGGCCCGTGGGAAGGGGGCGAGAGGTTCTGTGGCCACGTTGCGATAAATCACGATGTCAAGGGGGAGGAGAGGAAACGGTGTAGAGGGATTCCCCGAGGGCTTGAGGACTCTTCTACAATCGGCTTGTAGGGATCAGACCTGACAAACCGGGGTAAATCCAGGCAAATCCATGAACATCCGGATAAGTTGGCGTCAATCCAGAGATCTTCATCGAACATTGGGGCAAATCGTGGGCGCTCCATCGCGAGTCGACGTACAGCAGACCGACATCGAACGGTTTGCGCTACCAGATACATGGTTGGACGATCCACGAGGAGTCAGAGACCAGCGCCGACGTCGTCACAGCACGAGCATGCCGTCCCAAGATCTCCGACGTCGTGCCTTTTTTTCACAGCGTGGCTTCCCTTCAGAGGTGTGGACCCCTTCCCCGGGACTGGTTTTTCATCCCTCGAGTCATTGTTTGACGGCCCCACTGCCCAGCGAGAGTAGGCCGAACATGGACAACAAACGCCATTGTGTGTGCGTGTGTGTGTGTGTTGTGTGTTTTTTTTTTTTTTTTTTTTTGTGTGTGTGTGTGTGTCTCTGTGTGTGTGTTGTGTGTGCGCGTGTGTGTGCGCGCGCATGTGTGTGTGTGTGTGTGTGTGTGTGTGTGTGGATGTGTTGGCCGAGGGAGTTGGCGCGAGGGGGTTGGCCTTGAAATAAGGGAGAGGGGCTTCTACGCAGGCAAGGGGGCTTCTGAGAGGCCCGCCCGGCTTCCAAGAAGCCTTCTTGGAAGCCTCCAGGGCCTTCAAGAAGGCGCCCTGCTTTCTGAGAAGACCCTCTGCCATCTCAGAAGGCCGCCCCCCTCTTGCAACCCCCTTGTGGGCGCCACCAGCGGGTCGGCGGCGGGCAGCGACGGCGACGGGTGGCGGCGGCGTCGTCAGCCCGCGAGGCAGCAGGCAGGGCCGGGCGGGCTGCGCCTGGAGGCCGGCCCGGGTGGGGCCGGCAGCGGTGGGGCGGGCGGGTCGGGCGGTGCCGATGCAATCGCGGGTGGTCGTTTGGGGCATCGGTTCAACGGGCCGTGGTTTTTCTCATACAGTGGAGGCTGATGGGAGAGGACACGCGGGAGGACACAAGATCTTTCCGAGCGTCACGTTGCGCAATGATCTTGGAGTGATGCATACGCAAGGCGTGCTATGGCATTCCGCGGCGCTTGTGGTGCTACCCAGAATTAACGAATCCTTTCGTGTTGTTTTTGGATTGTTTTCGAATGTTTGACACGAGATTCCTCCTAGAGGTTTACTCGGCGGATGTGATTGACATCATTTTGCGTTTTCGCGACGGTTGGGAAGAATGCCGAGTGCCTGTGGGTTAGGGTTTGTATCAGTGGGTTCTGGTTGGTCCGCCATGCAGTGGAGGGGGTCTCCCCCGGACCCCCCACAACCTGCCCTGCCTAACCCCCACCTCAGGGTTTTTTCCAGGTGTGGCCAGCCAGCAATTGCCACTTCGGTCTCCCCAGGGGCGCGAAGAAAATCGCGCTTCGCGCGTCGCGGCCTGGGCGGCTGGGGGGCGCGAAGGTAGTCGCGCTTCGCACGCTGAGGAGCCCTTCTCCAGGGGTGTTGGCGCGAGGCGCCAAGACAACCGCACATCACACATCGCCGGGCGTGATGCGCGAAGTCAGGCGGCCTGGCTTTTTATGCAGGCCTGCCTCGTCCTTCCAGTCATGCACTTGCTCCTCTCTTTCGGCCTCTGGTGCCCGTTGTCGGGCCCGAGGACTGTCGAACACGTGTCCGGGACGGAGAACTGTCCTTGGGGAAGGGGCCCGGGATGATGGGGATGCGGATTGAATAAATCATGTCGGGAGATTTCTGGGTATGGGAGGCCCGCGGTGGTGGCAGCGTCGGAGTCCCCCCGCGGAGCACGGGGCGTCCCGAAGACGGGCGTCCCGAAGATGGGCGCCTTGTGCCTCCCCGCGGGCTCCTCCTTGTCCTCCTCCTCCTCCTCCTCCTCCTCCTCCTCTTCCTCCTTCTTTTTAACGTTGCGCAAACTCAAGGCTCCTCCTCCTCCTCCTGCTCCTCCTCCTCCTTCGTGTACCCCCCCCCCGGGCCTCCCGGCCTCCTCGTGGCCGGCCCCCCCTCAGGCCACCAAAGCTGTGCTCCTGCAGCGATCGAGGCGCTGGGCCGACTCCTTGGGCCCAGGGGTCGGCGTGTACGCCCTCGCCTGGCCGAGGGCAGGATGGGGCATGCACCGATCATGAGCCCGGGATCGGCCCGGCTAGGAACGTCCTCTACGATCCGATCGATCCGATTCGATGTCGGTTTCGGCCAGCTCGACCCCATTGGATTCCGATGCCTGGTCGATCCGATGCTGCGCGCCCAGGCGCGACCGATCCGCTGGGAGCTCAACTCCGTGCGGATGCGGCCCAAGTCGGTGTACGGCCCGGTTTCCCGATCCGATGCTGACCGATGCTGCGGTGCAGGCGTGTCGTTGGCTTCCCCCATCTCCTGCCCTGCCCTGCCCGCGGTGGGGCTTGGGGTCTCCCCCTCCTGGCCTCCTGTCCTCCTAGCCTCCTCCTCCTGCTCCTCCTGGCCCCTTTCCGATCGGGCACCGGGACGGGCGGCGGCGACGTTGACGACGACGACGCCGACGGCGACGAAGCTGGCGCTGGCGACGACGACGCCGACGACGACGCTGACGCTGACGACGACGACGACGGAGAGGGACGACGCTGGACAGCAACGACGCCCACCGGCGCTGACGCCAGCGCTGACGCCGACGACGACGTGGCCGATCCGATCCGGACTGGTCCGATCCGATCCGCCAGCTCGCCAGGCCCTCCGCCTCGAGCGGGACCAGGCGCGCCCGGCGCACGCCGCGCCAGCCCGGCCGGGGACGGTCGGCGGTCGGCGAGCGGAGGTCCCAAGATGGCGCGGTGAGTGCACCGTTCGGCCCCGAATCGCCGAAGCCCTAAATCTGGATCGGAGTCGTCTGCCGTATCTTTCTTTTCCTTTGGGTGGCGGCAGTTCCGGTCAGTGGAATGGGTCGGGGGGGCGTCCCCCAGTACACGTCACTGGATCGTGTCCCACTGAACCCAGTCTTGGCAAGGCCCGGCCAAGACGCCGCGGTGAGTGCACCGTTTGGCAGCTCTGACGTCCTCTTGTTGCTGCGACAAACAGCAATTAGACACGTAGGCAAGCAAGCCAGATTCGCAGGCGATTGTTTTTCCCCCAGCCCTGAGTTCCGCCCGAGGAGTTTGGCCGCTCAGAAAAGGGGGGAACCCTGGGGTACACCGGGTACATCCCAGGGGGGCTATTCGGATGCACCTCTATCGAGGATGGACGCTCCCCATCGTACATCCCAGGGTTGGGTCCCACATTTCTGGTCCAGTCGAAAGCCCCACGAAGCCTTGGATGGCTGTTGCAGATGGCCAAGCCTCCTGAAGGACGCGTGGGCTGGTTGGGAACGACAATCGTGGTTCCTGCCAAGTTGCGCCGTGGGAGTGTCATCGCAGCCAGCCCATATGGCATGGTCGGCGTCACCGCGGGTTTGAACAAATCACGGTGTAAGTTTGTGCCTCATTTTCGGCCTGCGGTGGCCCTCAGCGGGCCCTGGGTTCGTCAGCACTCCACCGATGATGAATGACATACTGGTCCCGCGGAAGGGGATCAGAACTCTGGGGAGCGACGTTGTGACATCCCATTCCCAGACCTCCGACGACATTCTGGGTGGGTACCCCTCCGACCGGGGTCAACCTCGCCTCGTCGTCGCGCCGCGACTGGGGTCGGCGCGCCTTTGGCGCGCGGTGGCTGCCCGCGACGGGGGTCGACGTGGGGCTGTCGGCGGGGGCGACGCCCCCCCGACGCTTATTAAGAGACTCGGAGTATGCTTTTCTCAATCGCGGCGTACGCTCTCCCTTCATTTCGGCCTCCAGGCCCGCTGTCGGGACGCAGAACTTCCTCTGTGGAAGGGGTCGGGAGTTCAGGGGCCGCGGACTGAAAAAAGCATAATTATCGGAGCATGTCTGGCTTCGGCAGGGTGCACTTGACTGCGACTCGTTGTCGGTTCCAGCCTGCTCGCTCAGATTCGGTTCCGGTTTGTCATGTCCAGCGGCCAAGTGCGGCCCGACGTTTGCGCTTGGCGCTGTTGTACGCACATTCTCGTTCGACCGGATCTCCCGCTTCGAGGCCGACAGGATTTGCCGTTCGGATTTGGGTCTCGGGCGACTGGGGGCCTCGAAGATCCCCAAAGCCGTGCGGTGGTGGGCCAGGCGATGATGTTTTCGGGGTTCTCGAGGTCATCTTACTGGCTGTCGTCACACCTTTTTGGGAGACTCCAAGAGAGAACCGAATTCCTCCACACTTGGGACATGACGCCCCTCAGATTTCATGCACTCCTCTTTTTCCCAACACTCCTTTGTTGGGCATTCGTTTTGAATAGAGCACTGCGGTCGCGTCCTTCTCCCGCCTCCCTCTTGTCTCCTCTAGCCTTGAGCGTATTTCTCGTGTGCGCATCTTGCCTGCTGTACCGCGGGGTGTACTGCGATCTGCGAAACTGTCGCCACTTTCGAGGGCTGCTGGTGGGTCCAGCGGAGTGAGGCACCGCGCAGATCTGAGCGGTAGCTCGCCGTCCCTGGTGGGCTGCGATCTGCGAAAGTGTTGCCACCTTCGAGGAATGCTGGTGGGTCCAGCGGAGTGAGGCACCGCGCAGATCTGAGCGGTAGCTCGCTGTCCCTAGGGGGCTGCGATCTGCGAAATTGTCGCCACTTTCGAGGTCTGCTGGTGGTCCAGCGGAGTGAGGCACCGCGCAGATCTGAGCGGTAGCTCGCCGTCCCTGGGGGGGGCTTCGATTTGCGGAACTATCGCCACCTTCGAGGGTTGCTGGTGGGTCCAGCGGAGTGAGGCACCGCGCAGATCTGAGCGGTAGCTCGCTGTCCCTGGGGGGCTGCGACCTGCGAAATTGTCGCTGCTTTCGAGGGCTGCTGGTGGGTCAGCGGAGTGAGGCACCGCGCAGATCTGAGCGGTAGCTCGCCGTCCCTGTTGGGCTGCGACATGCGAAACTGTCGCCACTTTCGAGGGCTGCTGGTGGGTCCAGCGGAGTGAGGCACCGCGCAGCTCTGAGCGGTAGCTCGCCGTCCCTGGGGGGCTGCGATCTCCGAAAGTGTTGCCACCTTCGAGGGCTGCTGGTGGGTCCAGCGGAGTGAGGCACCGCGCAGATCTGAGCGGTAGCTCGCTGTCCCAAGGGGGCTGCGATCTGCGAAATTGTCACCACTTTCGAGGTCTGCTGGTGGTCCAGCGGAGTGAGGCACCGCGCAGATCTGAGCGGTAGCTCGCCGTCCCTGGGGGGGGCTTCGATTTGCGGAACTATCGCCACTTTCGAGGGTTGCTGGTGGGTCCAGCGGAGTGAGGCACCGCGCAGATCTGAGCGGTAGCTCGCTGTCCCTGGGGGGCTGCGACCTGCGAAATTGTCGCTGCTTTCGAGGGCTGCTGGTGGGTCCAGCGGAGTAAGGCACCGCGCAGATTTGAGCGGTAGCTCGCTGTCCCTGGGGGGCTGCGACTTGCGAAATTGTCGCTGTTTTCGAGGGCTGCTGGTGGGTCCAGCGGAGTGAGGCACCGCGCAGATCTGAGCGGTAGCTCACCGTCCCTAGGGGGTTGCGATGGGACCTCGCAGTCCTTGGGGGGTTGCGAGCCCCACGAATGCCTCTCGCAGAAGTATGTGCGCTCATGTCACGTCATCACCTCATGACGTCTCCTAAGCTACTCATGCCCCGCATTGTGCAGGGGTTGGGTACGTCGCCAGGGTAATTTCCCAACCCTCCTTGGTTGGGTATTCGTTTTGAATGGAGCACTGCGGTCGCGTCCTCCTCCCGCCTCCCTCTTGTCTCCTCTAGCCTTGAGCGTATTTCTTGTGTGTGTGTGTGTGTGTGTGTGTGTGTGTGTGTGTGTGTGTGTGTGTGTGTGTGTGTGTGTGTGTGTGTGTGTGTGTGTGTGTGTGTGTGT